CTCTACTAAGAACTGATGTCTGTTTTCAGTTGTTTGCAAAGTGTTAACCATTACCTCATTTATTATGATTATGATAACTGCTTTCAAGTCTGTGTGATTATTCTAACATTAGTCATCTCAAAATAGGCATCTGTTGGTCCTCTCTTCCCTTGATAATTTGTCACATTTACCAGTTTTGTGTGTGTGTGTGTGTTTATTTATTTTTGCATGTAGGATAATTTTGGATTTTACCCTGGACATTGTGAATATTTCTGAATCATATTAATATCCTCTAGAGAATGTTGATTTGTTTTCTTTGTTTTAGTAGACACCAACTGGTGTAAATGGAAAGTTCTGTCTCACTTTCTATTGGTGGTAGTTCCAGTAGCAGTTCTATTTTCAAAATCTTTACTGTGCTCTTTGGATTTGCCCTTGCTATGCCTCTCAGTGATGGTATGAGACTTGGCAGTGGTGTATAATATAGATTATTTCCCTTTAGTATAGTCTTTGCTATGCTTCTTTAAGTGTATTTTACACAAGTGCAAATACAGTGTTTGTTTTGGCTTATACCAAAACAAAAGAATTAGGGATCTCTTTTCCAGCTCTCTCTTCTCCATGATTTTCCTCCATTCTTTTCAGTTTCCAATGGTTTTTCTCAGTTCGTCGTCATCGTCTTTTTTTTAATGTTTAAAAAAAATTTTTTTTCCAACGTTTTATTTATTTTTGGGACAGAGTGAGACAGAGCATGAACGGGCAAGGGGCAGAGAGAGAGGGAGACACAGAATCGGAAACAGGCTCCAGGCTCTGAGCCATCAGCCCAGAGCCCGACGCGGGGCTCGAACTCACCGGACCGCGAGATCGTGACCTGGCTGAAGTCGGACGCTTAACCGACTGTGCCACCCAAGCGCCCCTTTAATGTTTATTCTTGAGAGAGAGACAGGGTGCAAGTGGGGGGGGGGGGAGAGAGAGAGAGAGAGGGAGAGGGAGGGAGGGAGACACAGAATCCGAAGCCGGCTCCAAGCTCTGAGCTCTCAGCACAGAGCCCGACACTGGACTTGAATTCATTGAACCGTGAGATCATGACTTGAGCTGAAGTTGGACGCTTAACCAACTGAGCCACCCAGGCGCATATTCTTTTTTTTTTTTTTTAATGTTTATTCATTTTTGAGAGATAGGAGAGACAGAGAGAGAAGGAGACACAGAATCTAAAACTCCCTGTTCTTTTGATCAGAAAGACAGGTTTTTCTATGAGCATTTAGACCTGTACATTGTACAGTTACTCATCACTGGGGCTACTCTTAAGTGGGGAAAGGAGAGAGGAGTTTAAAAAAATAACGGGAATTCCCCCTCATACTTTTTGGACCAACAGGGACCCTGTTTTCCAATTTTTTCTGTTCAGAGAGAGGTTTTCTCACAGTTTTTTTTTTTCTTTCCTTTTCTTTCCTTTTCTTTTCTTTTCTTTTCTTTTCTTTTCTTTTCTTTCTTTCTTTTTTTTTTCTGTGGCTAGGGCAGTGCATTTCTGTGACTGAGGAGAGAAAAAAGAAAATGGCTTTCCCCCCATAGTCTTTAGGTTACAGGATTTCCTTTTTCTGCTCCTTTGGGCAGAAAGAGGGGATTTCTTTAAGAGTTTCCTTGTCAGCACCCTCAACATAGTTCTGTAACTCAGGCCATTCTTAAGTCAAAGCCAGGAGTTAAAGGAGGAAAATAGAATTAGGAAACTCATGGCTATTCCCATCATTCTTCACATTTTAACTTTTCTCCCCAGTAATTTTTATTACCTAAACTGTTTATGGAATGCTGATGTATATCCTCTGGTGAGTTAGCTACTTTCTCTGATATCTGTGTATTTAAGGAATATTAATTCTTAATTGTGTTTTCTCTGGATGTTTCAGTTTTTGTGTTTGACTCAATTTTTTTTGACATACAAAATTTTAAAATATATTAGTCTTGGGGTACCTGGGTGACTTAGTCGGTTAAATGTCCGACTTTGGCTCAGGTCATGATCTCAGGGTTTGTGGGTTTGAGGCCCACGTCAGACTCTGTCCTGACAGCTCAGAACCTGGAGCCTGCTTCAGATTCTGTGTCTCCCTCTCTCTCTGCCCCTCGCCTGCTCACACTCTTTCTCTCTCTCAAAAATAAGTAAACATTTAAAAAAATGCATTAGTCTTTTGTGAATTAAAAAAAATGCTAATAGCCTTTTCAATGTTCTTCTGTTCAGAATATGTATTATTCTAGTTGTAAAAAATGTTCTATTTTATTTTTCTCTAATTTGAAGTACAATGTAAATTATAAAAACAATTACTATAAAAATTCAGATAATATGGATGTCTAGATTAGCAAGTAATGTTTTTCTTCTTCTTCCTGTTTTTTTTGTTTTGGTTTTTTTTTCTTCTAAATTTAAATTCAAGTTAGCATACAGTGTAGTCTTGGTTTCAGGAGTAGAACCCAGTGATTCGTCTCTTACATACCCACATACTCCCCCATACCCATCCCAGGTAACCATGGATCTATTACTTTAGACTAGTTTTGCCTATTTGAGAATGTATCAGGGGAATCATCAAGTATGTATTCTTTGTTTCTGGCTTCTTTTGCTGAGTGAGCATAATGCTTTTGATGCTCATCTGTATTGATTGCTACATGTATTGTTAGTTTATTCCTTTTTATTGCTGTGAATAGTATTTCATTGTGTGAATATACCACAATTCTATTCTACATTTATTTGTTGATAGACATTTGTATTATTTGCAGTTTTGGACTGTTATGAATAAAGCTATTATGTACAAGTTTTTGTGTGCCTGTGTTTTCTTATCACTGAATAAATGACAGCTAGTTCAGGAATTGCTCCTTCATATAGTAAATACTTATTTTTCTTGATATGCATCTGCTAAACAATTTTCCAAAATGGTTGTACTATTTTACACTCCCATGAGCACTGTAATGATTTCCAGTTCCTGACCTTGTACATTTATCATTTCTGATGTTTTCTAGAAGTACCTTTGGTATAGATTCCATAGAGTGGTATTTTGTTTGAAATGGTCAGTGCATATGTTTTTGCTAGATTCTTCTCCATAAGGTTTATATTGTTTTTTTCCATTACCACTGCTAATGGATGAGTGCATACATACTTCCCTTCTACCCCACCATCAACAGGTGGTCAGTTTTTGCCTTTCTGATTACAAAATGAAATCTTAGTATAGTTTTAATTTGTCTTCTTTTACTTGGAGTGATTTTGAACATATTTTCATATATTTAATGGTTGTTTCCTTATTTTTTTTTCTTTGAATTACACATATCTGCTGGATTCTTTTCTATTTGCTGTTTTCAGAAACTTTTCAGATATTAAGTATATCAGATTGTTGTCTTTTTTCTTTCCTTTTTTTTTTTTAACGTTTATTTATTTATTTTGAGAGAGAAAAAACGTGAGTGGGGAGGGGCACACACTGATGGTGTGGAGCCAGACACAGGGCTTGAATCCATGAACAGTGAGATCGTGATCTGAGTCCCAAGTCTGACGCTTAACCAGCTGAGCTACGCAGGCACCTCTCCCCACTCCCGACACACACTTTTTTTAAAAAGCTCTTTACATATTAGGGATATTAACATTTGTAAACATAAGTTTCAAACTTTTTTCCAAGTTTATCTTTTGTCTTTTTGTTGAGGTGTGTCTTTTTCCATGGCTTCTCCTCCCAAGTTGTCTTTTTATATTGTTGAATATGTATTAGTCTTTGTGATTATTGTTTTGGATTTGGAACAGTTAGGAAAGTTTCCTCAGTTCCTGATTATGGAGGAACTTAACCTGTTTCCTTGTACTACTTGTATAGTTTCATTTTTTAAAATTGTACTTATTTTACGTAATCTCTACATACACCCAGTGTAGGGCTCAAACTCACAACTCCAAGATCAAGGGTCACATGCTCTTTCAACTGAGCCAGCCAGGTGCCCCAGTTTCATTTTTTATGTTTGTATTTCCCATATGTAATTGCCATATGTTGTATTTATGTTTGTATTGCCTGTGTGTGATTCTGTTTAGTTTGAAGAACAGGTGTTATTTTATTTTTTTTACCAAATAGTTACTGGAGTCTCCAAACATCACTTGTATATATCCGATTCCTTTTTTCCTCATTTACTTGGGATACCTCTATAGGCCAGTAATGTTTATGTAAGATATGTGATAGGGTTATAATTTTTATATATTTTTTCTGAATGTGTTCTCAGTTTTCTCTGCATTTATTTCTTTTTATAATTGTATGCTAAATTCCAAGGTACACATACATTGGTTTGTTTCTTGACTATCTTTTAGATTATTAATTTGCTTGTCCTATTTTTAGTATTCTAATGATGCCATTGTTTTGCATTCTGTTTTGATATTTGGCAGAGGAAATGTCCCTCATTATTTCTGATTTCTCTGATTTCCCTGAGGGATGCTATCCTATGAAGTATGTTATTTTCATTGTGCAGATTAGGAAAATGAGGGTACCCAAGTCCACAGTTTGTAAATAGTGTTGTCAGGATTCATGTCCAGGCAGTGGCAGTGTCATTCCAGAACCCAGAGGTTCTGAAGCCTCTCAGTTTTTAAATTTTTATTTAAAAAAGTCTATATTTTAAAAATATCTATATTATCTATAATCTGTATATGTCAGTACTCTGGTATAAAGGAACTGATAACAGAACACCAGGGAATTACTGGTTATCTGTAATATCTACTTATCTAATGATACAGATTTGATGAAGGCCATATTTTAATGTGAATCAGATTTATGAGGGAAACAGTTGTCTGTGTGAAATTCATTACTTTCTCCCATTGTGTTTTTCTTTGGAATGTCTGTATCAGAGTTGATTAAACACTGGTAAATGGTATCTTTTCAGATTTAGGAACTACTGTACTAGTAGACCACATCTCCATCTCAGTGAAATTCTAGGCCACAGATAATTTTGTATATGCTGTCAGAAAATGATCTTGTAATTATTCTTAGTGGTTTTTGCTTTTCCTGACTTTTTTTTCTCTTATTTCTCTTCAATAGTTTATGCCAGCGTGGCTTCATTCATACAGATGAACCAGGGATTGGGATAGCAGTATAAAATTAGAATCAGAGAACTGATTGCCCAGCAGGATGCCATCAACCAACCGAGCGGGCAGTCTGAAGGACCCTGAAATTGCAGAGCTCTTCTTCAAAGAAGACCCAGAGAAGCTCTTCACAGATCTCAGAGAAATTGGCCATGGAAGCTTTGGAGCAGTATATTTTGTAAGTGTTAAAGGCTTAATGTCAGTGACCAGCATTTACTTAATATCTAGTCCTGGCAGAGTAAAAAAAAATATATATATATAAAGAAACATAGGCAATAGTCCATTTTATAATCACTTACATAGATATATGTGTATAATATGAAAGTAGATAGTTTTATTTATTGAGCTTCTTGGATTATTAAAAAAATGGGAAACAATATTATTTTGCTTTAACTTACATGTTTAGCATTTTAGTACAGTGGTTTGAAGAGTCTAATGACTTGCATTACTACAGAATTAAATATTGCAGAAGAACTCTGATTTCTGTTAAGTCTCATACACAGTCAATTTTAGTGTTTTGGAAATCTAGGATTATTATTTGACAGAAGGATATGTACCAGTCTTTTTTTCTTGTGTGTATATGTGTGTGTGTTATGCTAAAATAATCATCAAATTTGCCATTTTAACCATTTTTAAGTGTACAATTTGTGGCGTTAATTACGTGCACAGTGTTGTGCAACCATTACCATTATCTAATTTCAAAACTTTTTCATCACCCCCAAGCAGAAACTATGTATTTATTAGCAGTAACTCCTTCCCCCTCTACCCAATCTCTAATCTACTTTTTGTTTATGAATTTGCCTATTTTAGATATTTCATATAAATGGAATCATGCAATATTTGTACTTTTGTGTATAGCTTGTATCACTTAGCATAATGTATAGCATAATCACTTTGCAGGTCAACCATGTTGTAGCATGTATCAGTACTTCATTCCTTTTTATAGATGAATAATATGCCATTGTATGTGCCATGGTTTGTCCATTCATCTGCTGATGGATACTAGATTGTGTCCATCTTCTGGCTATTGTGAATAAATGCTATGATGAACATTGGTGTACAAATAACCGTTTGAGTCAGTGTTTTCAAATTTGGGTGTGTACCTAAGAGTGAAAATACTAGATCACATGGTAATTTTATGTTTAACTTTTTGAGGACTGCCAAACTGCTCCATAGTGGCTGTACTGTTTCCATTCTCACCAGTAATTTACTGGAGTTCCAATTATTCCACATCCTCACAAATGCCTGTAATTTTTTGTTATTTTGATTATAGCCATCCTGCTAGGTGTGAAGTAGTATCTTGATGTTTTGGTTTGTATTTCTCTATTGACTAACAATGTTGAGCATCTTTTCATGTGCTTATTGGCCATTTGCATATCTTCGTTGGAGAAATGTCTATTCAAGTCCTTTGCCTCTTTTAAAATTTGGGTTGTCTCTTTGTTGTTGAGTTATAAGGGATCTTTATGTATTCTGAATATTAAGTCCTTGTCAGATACATGATTTGCAAATATTTTCTCCCATTCTGTAGTTTGTCTTTTCACTTTCTTGATGATGACATTTGATATACGAAAGTTTTAAATTTGGATGAAGTCCAATTGGTCTATTTTTTGTTATTGTTGCTTATACTTTTGGTGTCATGTCTCATTATCCATTGCCAAATCCAGGGTTGTGAATATTTACCCTTATGTTTTCTTCTGAGAGTTTTATGGTCTTAGCTCTTATATACAAGTCACCGATTCATTTTGAGTTGATTTTTGGATATGTTGTGAGGTAGAGGTCCAACTTTACTCTTTTGTGTGTGGAAATCTAGTTGTTCAGTGTTCCAGTGCCCTCTATTGAAGAGACTGTTCTTTCTCTGTTGAATTGTCTTGACATCTTTGTGAAATCAGTTGATCATATTGTATAGGTTTATTTCTGAACTCTCAGTTCTGTTCCTTTTGTCTATATATCTATCTTTATGCTAGTATCATACTGTTTTGATTACTGTATTGTCGTACTAAGTTTGAGATCAGGGACAACTTTATTATTCTTTTTAAGGATCGCTTTGACTGTTTGGGGCCCCTTGCCATTCCATATGAATCTGAGGATTAGCTTTTCCATTTCTGCTGTTGAAATTTTGTTAGGGATTGTTTAAATTTGTTGATCATGCTTGGTAGTATTGGCATCTGACCAATATTGAGTCTTACTCCATGAATGCAGTATGTCTTTCTAAACATTTATTTAGGTCTTCTTTAATTTTGTTTAGCAATGTTTTGTAGTTTTCAGTATACAAGTGTTCTAATTCATTGCTTAAATTTAGTCATCAATATTTTATTCTTTTAGATGCTATTGTAAATGGAATTATTTTCTTAATTTCCTCTTGAATTTATTCATTGCTGGTATATAGGAACAGCTAATTTATGTGTGTTGGTTTTTACACTACAATTTTGCTAAATTTATTAGCTAGTATCTTTTATGTGGATACTGTGGACTTCTGTATATAAGATCATGTCACCTATAAACAAAGATAGTTTTACTTCTTTCCAATTTGGATGCCTTTTGTTTTTCTTATCTATTTGCTCTCATTGTAACTTTGATGGCAGTGATGAAAATGAGCATCCTTGTTCCTTATCTTAGGGAGAAACTTTTTTCAGTTTTTCATAATTGAGGATGATATTAGCTGTGGGATTTTCATAAATGCCCTTTATCATATTGAGGAAGTTTTTTCTGTTTCTAATTTTTTGAGTGGTTTTTGTTTGTTTTGTTTTGTTTTTCATGAAAGGTTGTTGCATTCTGTTATATACCTTTTGGATGTCAGTTAAGGTGATCATAATGGTTTTTCTCCTTCATTCTGTTAATGGAGTATATTGCATTACTGATTTTGTTACATTGAACCACTCTTGCATTTCTGGGATAAATCCCACTTTGTCATGGTTTATAATCATTACATCTCTATTCATAAGGGACACTGTAATGTGTGTGTGTGTGTGTGTGTGTGTGTGTGTGTGTGTGTGTGTGTGTGATTTTCTTGGTGTGGTGTTGGTATCAGGCTAATACTGGCTTCATAGAGTCAGTTAGGAAGTGTTCTTTTTTAGTTTTTGGAAGAGTTAGTGAAGAATTGGTATTAATTCTTCTTTAAATGTTCGGTAGAATTCACCAGTGAAGGCTTCTGGTTCTGGACTTTGTTTTTGATTACTTATTCAGTGTTTACTTGTTATAGGTCTGTTAATATTTTCTTTCTTTCTTTTTTTAGTGTTTTTTAAATTTATTTTGAGAGAGAGAGAAAAATAGCATGAGCAGGGGGAAGGGCAGAGAGAGAGAGGGAGAGAGAGAATCCCAGGCAGGCTCCATGCTGCCAGCACACAGCTTGTTGTGGGGCTCAAACCCATGAACCATGAGATAATAACCTGAGTCAAAATCAAAAGTCCAATGTTTAACTGAATGAGCCACCCAGGTGCCCCCATCTTTTGATGTTTTCCCTTAAGTTACTTTTATTTGTGGGTTCTAGGAATTTGTTTCATTTTGGTTGTCTAATTTATTGGTATACAGTTGAAAATAGTATGCTCATATGACCCTTTTTATTTCTGTAGGTTGTTTGTAATAGTCCTGTTCTTTTCCTGGTTTTAGTTATTTGGCTTTTCTCTCTTTTCTTTTTTATTGGTATAAGCTCAGTCTGTTTTCTCCTGAATTTTAACTATAATTCTATTTTGAGATTTTCAGTAAAAGTCTCTTTGTAAACTTTCCTTGTTCATAGAAAGATGTATCATATCACCTTTAACACTGAAAAAAGAAAAGTGTACAGAAACCATTACTTACAACTATTTTCCCTTCAGATAACCCACTGATATTATTTCATTTACATCTGTTCAGCCTTTCAAGAATGTACATATATCTAGGATTACTGTTACCTCAATTTAGCCAGGACTTTTCCAGTTCCAGTGGTGAAAGTCCCATGTCCTAGAAACCCCATAGCCCAGGTCAGATGAGATGATTATTCATCCTACATATATCTGTACCACATAATATTTATAACCTGAGCCACCCAGGCACCCTGCCATTTAATTTTTAAAATTAAAGTGTATAGTTTGTTTCATAAAATTTTGCAGTACTGCTTATTTTTCTTATGAATAAGTGTACATGTGTAACTGGCTATATCACATTTTGTCATGTATCTATTTGATATATCATAATTCACTTTATCATTCCACATAATTAGATATTAAGGTTTTCAACCATGCCTGGTTTTTTTGCTGTTAAAAATAATGCTGTAATGAACATCATTATGTTTCCTCTTAATGGACATGTTTGCCAGTTTGGAGGGAAAAAGAAGGAGAATAAAGCAATGTGAATAGCCTAGAAAATAAAAAGAATATTCGGAGACTATTGAAGGGATCCCTGAATTACCAATTTTTTAAAGTTTATTTATTTATTTTGGGAGGGGAGGGGCAGAGAGAGAGGGAGAGAGAATCCTAAACAGGCTCTGGGCTATCAGTGCAGAGTCGGATACAGGGCTCCTGAACCGTGAGATCGTTACCTGAGCCAAAAGCAGGAGTTGGGCACTTAACCAACTGAGCCACTCAGGTGCCCCAAATTGTCAGTTATTAAAAAACTATGACACAGGGGTGCCTGGGTAGCTCAGCTGGTTAAGCGTCTGATTTCAGCTCCTGTCGTGATCTTGTGGTCAGTGAGTTTGAGCCCCGTGTTGGTCTCTGTGCTGACAGCTCAGAGCCTGGAGTCTGCTTCAGAATCTGTCTCCCTCTCTCTCTGCCCCTGCTCGCTCGCTCGCTCTCTCTCTCTCAAAAATGGATAAACATTAATTTTTTTAAAAAACAACTATTTTTCTAAAGCAGTTATAGTTAGGTTCACAACAAAATTGAAAGGAAGGTACAGAGAGATCTCATAAATTCTTATCCCTTGTACATGCATAGCCTCCCCCATTATCACAATCCTCCACAGAATACGACTGATGAACCTGCACTGACATAATCACCATAGTTTACATTAGGGTTCATCCTTGTACATTCCATGGGTTTAGTGTAATGTATAATTGACAAATTCCCATCATCATACAGAGTATTTTCACTGCCTTGAAAAAAACCTCTATGCAGCTTTTTGGGTTTTTTTGTTTTTTTGTTTTTTTTAATTTTTATTTATTTTTTGAGAGAGAGAGAGTGAGAGTAGGGGAGGGGCAGAGAGAGA